CTTGCGTACGTGGCCTCTGAGGCCAACACTGCTGATGTCTTCACCAAGGCACTTGCGCCTTGTGATCATCAGCGTTGTTGCACGCAGTTGGGTCTTGTGCCTGTCTTGCCTCACTTGCTCTCCTCTTGACCTTGCTTGTACCTTCGCCTATATATACTCTTGCTCTTGCATGCTTGACTCTTGTATATCTCTATATATGATCTTGCATGTGAACTGGCCTTCTGGCCTTTGAACTTGTGCTCGGAATGCGTGGTGACTTTGTGATCCACCCTGAGCTTTGCTTTGCTTTGCTTGACTGGTCTTGTGACCCCTTGTTCTCCCCCACTTTGCCTATGGGGGTGTGTCAGAACATATAGCTTACTTGTTTCTGTAGGCTATTGTGGGGTATCCCATAGGGGTTACAACACAATTAGGGTTTCCTATTTGTATTCACTTCACTTCATAGTCATTCATTCTCGTTCTTTGATTTCACACGATGTTCACGAGTGATCATGCTCAGGAGCAGGAAAATGGTCTCGCGAAACCTACACTATGGTGCTCGAGGAGGTTGCCCTAGGCGTGCGAGCTTGGAAAGAAGGTTCGCGAAGGCAGCCTCTTGCAAGGAACTCGAGGCCAGGGTTACGGTGAAATGGTTGGCGAAACTACATGAAGTGCAAGTGTTACGCGAAAGTTATGATTTCGCCATGAAAAAAACTCGTTATACAAGTTCATCTGTGTTTACAGTTAACACTGCGGATGAATCACAGTAAATAGTGGACTTCATCTGCAAGGTTAAGTTCAGTCGTGTTCCTTTGTTCAGTAACTTTTATTCGTGTTCTCCTGACGCCTCCAATTTTGGGCCTCACAAGCTTACACGGTGCCAGGTGATGGTGATTGATTTGCTAGAATATATTTTTGATAACTTTGGCTGCTCCGACCAGAGCTCAGGTTTGCAGTGTCATTTACCCTTCTACACTGATTACAAGGGTGAAATTTTGGGTCTACACTGATGTGCTGGGGTAATTTTTTGATGAGTTAGTGTTACACTGATCTGTAAGTGTATCGTTCTAGGCCACACTGATGCCTTGGGGTAATTTTTTACTTATCGTAGATTACACTGAAGTGCGTACAGAGCACCCCTTCCCCTCCCCCTCCCCCCCCCCCCCCCCCCGCCCGTTCTTGCGTTGGCCGCTGTCAAATGTCCGATTGGTCAGTTAGGAATAATTCCCTTGCCAGCACGACACGCAATCCCACATTGGCAGCAACTACAGTATTGCTGCCTGAACTAAGTCCTGGGAGTGGGACCACATTCAGATTGTCGGTGCTTGGAGATGCAAACCACGGTTCCCGACCGTGGCGCTCTGTGAGTTTCTGTCCCGAAGCTTTGCCGTGTGGGTTCGGCAAGCACAGCTAACAGTATCGTGTGACACCGTCATTCCACCACCACCCCAAAGTTGCTCCTGTTTTGACCACTCAATCTAGCAGTTGAGCGACCACCACCTGGTAGCCATGGCTGCGCCTGGAGACGCTGCCGATGCCGATGATGGCGACCCCTCTTGTAGCTATAGGCCAAGGACTGGTCTCGATTTTTTGCGAGGCCATGTAACCGAATCTGCACCTCGCCCTTTGCCTGAGCCCTCGGATGACAGTGAGGGCTGGCAATTTCCTGTGCGCAAAGCTGTGTCACGGTCACCCCCGCCTGAGCAGGAGCTAGATTCAGACGACGCTGAGACGCAACATCCCACAAGCAATGAGGCGGACCTCGACGTTCACGGTGACGTGGAGACGACGGACATCGTCACCAAAGCCCCGGAGTCTTCTAATTCGGCAGCGCTGAAACGTCGCCGCTACACGCAGACAACGATTGGGTTCGGTGCCGGCACGCCGCTTGTGAAACCTCCTCCTCCGCCACCTCCCGCGGTCACTCCAGCGCCATCACCTCTCAAGCTGACTGCTGCTGAACGCGCTGAAGCGAAGTTCCAGGAAGCCAAGAGAAACGACATTTCGAAATGGCTCCCGATGTTTGACTGGCTGTTGCTCGACAAGGCTGATGACGGCATGCCTTGCTTGTGTTGCAGTGTGTGCAGTGAACACGGCCCAGACAACGCACGATACGGGAGGAATGGAAGCGGCGGCCGCGACTTGCAGCCAGCGTCGATGCGCGCGCACCAAGCAAGTACTCGCCATGAGGAGTGCATCGACCGTCAAAAGGGGCTCCTCCACACGTTGGCGACACAGAAGAAAATTGACGACTACGAGAGAGCGGACGTGGAGGGCGCGCGGGTGATCAGGCTCATGCGGAGCATTCAATTTGTGTGCGACGAAGACGCACCCATCGCTATGTTCCCGCGAATTGTGGAGTTTCTGGCCAGGGAGGGTGTGCGTGACATCCCTCGACAGGGCTACGGAGTTTACATCACGGAGTGAGTACCTTTTTTTATTCTTGGGTGATATTTTCCTGTGCACGCTACGGAGGCTAATTTTTGGCTGCGCATATTGCAGGTTCAGTTTCAAGGAGATGGTGAAGGCTATGTGCACCTACCAGCAGCAGCAACAGATGATGTACATCCACGCGTCGCCTTGGATCGGCCTCAGTTGTGATGAAAGCACCGACAGAGCTCACGGGAAGCATCTCGTGGTGTTTGTGACCTTCTTGAAGGACTGACCGGTTGCAACCGAGTTTCTGGCGCTCCTAACCGTCCAGAAGTGTGACGCGGCATCAATTTTCACCGTCTTACTAAGCCACTTAGAGACTGCCGGTCTGGATCTGCAGAGGATCGTCGCCATCAGCACTGACGGCGCGGGTGTGATGGTTGGCGCCGAGCGGGGGCTTGTGGTGCGTCCCCGTCAGCGCATTCATCATTTCGTCGGCACGCATTGCATCGCTCACAGGTATGGTGTTCAAATTCGTTGACTTGGGTTTATACCCGCATACAAGTAGTGTTTTAACCAATATGGGTTTACCTGTGCAGAGAAGTTCTAGCGGTGAAGGAGTCGGCGCTCAGATACAGCGACCTTGATACCGTCGACGCTGCAATCCGTGGGCTGGGAGAGATCGTCACGAAGTCCTCCGTCTGGCACGAACGTTTCAAGGAGCTGCAGCAAGAAATCCACAAGACCAGCCTGGAGCACCAGGGGCTCTTCGACGTGAGATGGCTGTCGCGTGGAATGCTGTGCAGCGGTTCTGCAGGGTCCTTGGGGCAGCGATTGTGGTTTTCATCGAGTACCAGCACAAGATGGCCGGCACGCTGAAGTCGCTGAAGTTTCACTTCTGCGTCTACTTTTTGGCGGATCTTCTTGCGGAGATCAACGCCCTGAACCGGTTTTTCCAAAGACGGAAAGTAAGTGATGCGTTCTAGATTGCTTTATTGTAATTTAGAACAGCACCAATCGAGTAATTTCTGAACGAATTCTTGCTATTGTTGATCCCGCCTCCATCTCAGGTTGACATCACGATCGTGCACCAGGAGGTGGACCGCGCTTTTTGCTACATCAGGCTGCGCTACGTGGAGTACGACAAAACTTTCGGAGGGGGAGTCAGCAAGCTGCTGTCGCCATTTATCGCGCGGATGGCAAACGGCAAATGGAAGATCAAAGTGGACGGCGTCGATGCGGAGGGCGAGCCAACATCGCATGAGTTCGTGCTGAGCGAGGAGCCGCTGAAAGGGCACAAGTATGGCGGATCAATGGCCGACTGCATCAAGCTGTGCAAGGCGTTTGCGCTTGAGGTGGCGACAAATCTGCACACCCGCATGCACAGCCTGAAGGAGTTGGACGGCAGCAAGATGTACAAGGTGGAGTCGTGGCCAGATGCGACAGATAAACGGGAACGACGGGTGGTGCAGTGGCTGGATGCTAACGCGCGTGTCTTCATGAACAGGCTGCCAGGTGTGTTTTTGCTGACGTTGCAGTCACTCGTAGTTGGATGCGATGTTGCTTGGTTGTCTTGGTGGTAAATGCTAAATAAGAGAATGATTGTTATGATTGTTTACGTGGCAGGCTTCAACCACCGCGCGGCGGAGCTTGAACTGAGTAGCTTCTGCCACGTCATGTCGCGCCACTACGAGGACGACGACTTCTACCAGGGGCTCGCCAAGATAATGAAGACCAAGGGCTGGCCTCGCAGCTACCCCAACTTGGTGTCCATGTGGCAGGCGCTCGCGGTAATCCCGCTAAGCACCGTGGAGTGCGAGCGTGGATTCAGCCGGCAAAACGTCATCAAGAGCTGGATGCGCACGTCGCTTGGAGACGTCCGTCTGTCCGAGCTGATGACTCACAACATGCTGAACTACGAGTACAAATGGCCGGAGGTGGAGATCTGGCGGAAGCAAAAGAAGAGAAGACCCGCGAAAACACCCGTCCCACACAAGCATTTCGCAGGAAACGGCAAGGCAGTTTTAGAGTCTGATAGTGAGGATGAGCATGCAAGTGATTGAATGATTATAAATAAATTGTCAAGTATGTGAGTTGAGTTAAATCTAATGAGTACATATTACCAGTGGCAGTGTACGGAAAAATCTCACACTGGAGTTGCAGGGTAAATTTTTAAAACGGATACCGTATGTTACACTGCTCTGGCAGTGTAATGAAAAAGTGCACACTGCCCAGAAGGGTTTTTAAAATAGCTACACTGCCAATCGTGAGCTAGCCAAATCCAAAACGAAGCCCTGGCTCCGACCACCACCACGACCAAGAAAAGCAAACACTCTTTTTGTGCTGGAAAACCCATTGGCCTTTGCATCAGCCTGCTTTTGGCATTGTGCATGCCAAGTGCAGTGTATCCACATGGCCACTTCGTTTTTCCATGAAACAACCATACAGGACCTTACACCCAACGCTCACCTGATGGGTCAGAGAAGAGGTTAGCATACTGATTCCTCAGAATAAAAATATTGTTGATACTTATTCCAGAGAGACATAACACATGCACATCCTGCTTCCCATTCAAATCTGTTGCAAAGCTATGCGTAGTATCAACCATCTCCAGTACTTGCTCCCCATTCTCACCAGACATTCAAATATCACCTCCCGTCTTTCCTGTGCAAGCATGCCACCACTCCCCTCCTCCCACCACTGCCCGTCCGCTCATCCACCTTCACCCACACGTCCTCTGCCCCCACACACACCCACCGGCCTGCCCCACCATCCACATACTGCCCTTCCCAGTCACCGTCAGCAAGAGCTGCCGCCACAGAGTCAGCCAATGCAGGTGGCACAGATTCCTGTCCCAATGAGCCCTGCCCCACTGGACCCTGATTTGCCTGTCCCTGCTCCACTGCTCCCTGCACCGCCAGGTGAGCCAGCACAAAGTGGTGCAGCGACGGGGCTGCACCTGCATCCCTCTCCCCCACGCCTCCTTCCACCGCAACACCATCCACCCCCTCCCACCGCACCTCATCCTCCCATACCACTGCTTCTGCTGCCCCTCCTGTTTCCCCTCTTCCTTTCTCACCACACCCCTCCCCACACGCTTCCCCACGCAACTCCCCATCTCCATCCCCCACACCAGCCACTGGAAGCGCGTCCTCCACTCGTTGTGATACCATCTCAGCAGGTGAGGCGCCACCTCCCACACGACCTGCTTGTGCCTCCACCTGCACCTCTCTCCCTCCCTTCTCATCCCTCGCAGCACCCATCCCTAACCCTTCCATCCCTCTACACACTCCTGCAGACACACCCTCCGCCCCACAGTCCGCTTCTTCTCCGCCTGCTCCCCAATTCCCTCCCATTCCTTTCCAGTACGGCGGTAATAGCCTTGGTGTTGGGTCAAGCGGCTCCGAACCAAGAGCGGGGTAGACTGCCAAGCCTGGCCCAGAGGTTCGGGTGAAATGCTCCTCGTCAAGAGAGACTATCCGAGGCACAACTGCTGCGTTGAGAAACACGGTGTGGCTGCTGGCATGGGCGGTGGTGTGGGTGCTGTCAGAACTATTGGAGGGAGCAACAAGAGGCGCGCTACCAGCAACAGGCATAGAGAGTACAGGATGGGGAGTGGCAGCGGCTAGAGGGGAGGTGGCAGAGGTGGGCAGCGGAGAGGCAAGGTGCAGCAGAACAGCAGCCATGCGGCGCTGGGTGACAACCTCCCCTTGCCGCGTGGGTGCGATGTGAGGGGTGGTGAGGCGGTTGGAGCGCGAGCGGTAGTTGAAGGGGAAGAGGTCGCGGTGCATGTGGCCAAACACCACCAGTGGGATGTGCCGCCCGTCTTCCAGCGATGCTGTAACAGCGCTGGATAGATCTGAGGGGAAGGAGCGCATGAGAGGACGAGGGAAAGAGTGGTCGAAATGAGAATTACATCCATTTGGCCCAACATCAGCAGACAGCAGCAGAGGGCTGCGGCGCCTGCCAGCCAGAGATGCTGTGACCGCCTTTTTTAATGCTCGGGGGGAGATGCCTGTGGAAGGACGAGAGGACGCGTTGTTCGAAGGAGACGGGAAGGCAGTGCATGTGCATGTGGACGGGGAGCAGCAAGAAATGTGAAGTTCGTTTGCCGGAGCTGCTGTGCTTGCTCGTGCAAGGCTGATTGGGAGGGGGAGTGGGAGAAACGACCATGGCGGATGGGATTCGTCTGTTTACCATAGAGTAGTGATGGAGAGGTCATGGGCGGGCGGGAGTGGTGCGTTACAGAGGGACAAGGGCAGGAAGGGGAGGGACAAGGGCAGGAAGGGGAGGGACAAGGGCAGGAAGGGGAGGGAAAAAACGACAGCAGGAAAGGAAGAACACACCCCCTCCCAACCCCACCCCTCCTCTCACCTTCATCCCCGAAGTCGCCCCCCGGTGGCAGCCCCTTGGAGGGGAAGTCCTTGCCACATATGTCCCACGGGTGGGAGCCCAGGCCTGAAAGGGAGGAAGCATGGCGATGGCATGAGGTAAAGCAGGGAGAGCGTTTGAAGGAAAGGACAACCACAGATGCCATTTCACCACATGTAACAGCACATTTGCACCACACGCCAAGGCATCTCATGCAATGTCATCGCCTGCTCTCCTGGCTGGCTGCACGACCGTTGCAAGCCCAGCAGTGAGCAACAATGCTGGGAGATGGCTGGTAATGTTCGGAAAGCAGACATGGAGCTGCATTTGTGGCACTGCAGCATGATGCCACCACGCCCCACGCCCCACCACCATCAGATGCTCGTGTGTGAATCAATTGATAAACAAACAAACAAACAAACAAATAAACGTAAAGATATCCCATCATCATCAGAATCCGACTCACCTGCAGGCCCATTGTGTGCGAGAACGACAACGCTGTGGGACTCCGGTGCTGCTCGGATGGTCTCTGTGATCTTTGCCGTGCTGGCGTTCATGGTGCGCACTCCACACCTGATGGCACGTGAGGATACATGGATGTATAGATTGCATGCATGTGCGAGCACCCTCTCTGCAACTGATGCATGGCTGCTTCTTATCATACATCATACCCACCACCGCAACCTCTCTGCACCTTACCTCCTCCCTGCGTTCCCCACTGTAACCTCTCTGTAGTCTGCACCTTGGAATCTCTCTGCACCTTGGAATCTCTCTGCACCTTGGAACCTCTCTGCACCTTGGAACCTCTCTGCACCTTGGAACCTCTCTGCACCTTGGAACCTCTCTGCACCTTGGAACCTCTCGGCACCTTGGAACCTCTCTGCACCTTGGAACCTCTCTGCACCTTGGAACCTCTCTGCACCTTGGAACCTCTCTGAACCTTGGAACCTCTCTGCACCTTGGAACCTCTCTGCACCTTGGAACCTCTCTGCACCTTGGAACCTCTCTGCACCTTGGAACCTCTCTGCACCTTGGAACCTCTCTGCACCTTGGAACCTCTCTGCACTTTGGAACCTCTCTGCACCTTGGAACCTCTCTGCACCTTGGAACCTCTCTGCACCTTGGAACCTCTCTGCACCTTGGAACCTCTCTGCACCTTGGAAACTCTCTGGACCTTGGAACCTCTCTGCACCTTGGAACCTCTCTGCACCTTGGAACCTCTCTGCACCTTGGAACCTCTCTGCACCTTGGAACCTCTCTGAACCTTGGAACCTCTCTGCACCTTGGAACCTCTCTGCACCTTGGAACCTCTCTGCACCTTGGAACCTCTCTGCACCTTGGAACCTCTCTGCACCTTGGAACCTCTCTGCACCTTGGAACCTCTGCACCTTGGAACCTCTCTGCACCTTGGAACCTCTCTGCACCTTGGAACCTCTCTGCACCTTGGAATCTCTCTGCACCTTGGAACCTCTCTGCACCTTGGAACCTCTCTGCACCTTGGAACCTCTCTGCACCTTGGAACCCCCCACGGCCCCACCTGGCGCGGTAGAAGCTCTTAGCCCAGCTGGAGGGGCCGTAGGAGAAGGGGCGCGCTCCCACGATGGACAGGCGCCACTGGGGGAGGTCCACCCGCCCGTACCCCACGTGTAAACTGCCTAGGCTGGTGGGGCATAGAGAAGGCACGATTTAAGAGATACAAGCAAAGTATAAGTTTCACGGCAATGGGGAATGTAGGTCAAGGATGACGGCGTGTGATAGTCAGTCAGGAGACCAAACAGGGTTAAAGAAGAGGAAGAGGATAAGAAGATTCGCGTTGGTGCTGGGGGAACAGGCGAAGACAGCGCTGTATCACATGTGATGTTCTATCACGAAGAGGAGCAGGTGATGTAATGAAGACGTGGTGGCAAGCAGTTAGGAGTTCCACTAGACAGAGTGGGAGCATGAAGTGAGTTGAGAAGTGGTGAGGGATAGGTGGAGGAAGAGCATACGCTTCAAGCTGCTGAGTGAGCTTATCCACTGCGTCCACCAGTGGCGCACTCTCTTTTCTGCACTCCACACAGAACCACATGAACACATCGGGCACAGTGAGGGACATACCGGGCACAGTGAGGGACATATCGGGCACAGTGAGGGACATATCGGGCACAGTGAGGGACATATCGGGCACAGTGAGGGACATATCGGGCAGAGTGAGGGACATATCGGGCACAGTGAGGGACATATCCAGGGTTTTTGAAAATTTACCGTAAAAAACGGTATCGTAAAAAACGGTCGTAAAAAACGGTTTAAAACGGTTCCAGGAGGTGTTTCTTGTTTAACAAACAAAACGGCCACTTAGTGGGACCAGATTGAACCCGGAATGCAGCAGCATGAAGGGGACGGACCCCTTCTTGCATGTATGCACTTGCTGGCATGATTGAAAATGTTTTTGACCTTGTTTTTTTTTTTTTTTTTTTTTCTTGGTGAACAGAGTTCTCTAACAAAAAAACGGCCGTTTTTTTTTTTTTTTTTTCGAAAAATCACCGTAAGAAACGACCGTAAAAAACGGACCGTATTTTACGAAAACCGTAATTTTGATCCTTGGACATATCGGGCAGAGTGAGGGACATATCCGGCACAGTGAGGGACATATCGGGCACAGTGAGGGACATACCGGGCACAGTGAGGGACATATCGGGCAGAGTGAGGGACATATCGGGCAGAGTGAGGGACATATCGGGCACAGTGAGGGACATATCGGGCACAGTGAGGGACATATCGGGCACTGTGAGGGACATATCGGGCACAGTGAGGGACATATCGGGCACGGATGAACAACTCGGGCATGGTGAGGAACATGTGGTGCGCACGCTTATCCACTGCATGCATCAGTGGCGCACTCTCCTTCCTGCACTCCACACAGAGCTACAGGACCAATCATTAATAGACCAGCTGAGAATCCATGGCCAAGGACACACGTGGTGCGTGCGCTTATCCACCAGGCCCACGAATTGAGATCATGGAATAGTGACGATAGCCTGCGTCATATGTTGCATTTCTGAGTTCTTTGACCATGTTAAATCCATTTAAGCTCAAGAGCAGCACCTGAACATGTGGGGCCAACAAGCACCAGAACACCTGAAAGCACCTGAACATGTGGGGCCAACAAGCACCAGAACATCTGAAAGCACCTGAACACCTGAAAGCACCTGACCACCTGAAAGCATCTGAACACCTGAAAGCACCTGACCACCTGAAAGCACCTGAACACCTGAAAGCACCTGAACATCTGAAAGCACCTGAACATGTGGAACCAGGCGTCATGGTTGCCGAGGATGACTGCCACCTCCACCTGCGCGCCCACAGCGCCCATCATGGCCTTCACTGCCGCCACCTGCCGCACCAGCTGCACCTGCTCCTCGCCAAAGTCCCCTGCACGCCAGGAGTTGGGCATGGGATGGTGCAGCCATAAACAGCGACTCAACAATACCCGCACGACCTCCACCTGCGCGCCTACAGCCCCCATCATGGCTCTCACCACCACCGCCACCTGCTGCACCCACCCGCTCCCCTCCAAAGTCCCCTGCATGCCGTGGGTTGAGTGTAGGGTGGTGCGTGGTTGATAAAAGGGCGTCCACACGATGCATTGGGTGGTTTTTCAGGCGGCTCAGAACGATCCCTGCCAAGCTCGCCTGCACCCACCCGTTAAGTTGGGGATATGGTTTGGCCCACATGTTCCACATGCACAGGCGTACACACGGTGACGTGCTGCATGTGTGGTGTGACACACAACGCCGTGTTGCATTCAGATTCGAAGACACAATACCATTACATGAGTAGAAGCACTAGCAAGGCGGAAGTTGCAGCTGTGGTAACAACAGCAATGCTAGCATGGGAGCAAAGGGCGGAGAAGGCGAGCTGGAGGTTTTGCAACGTAAGAAGGCTTACGCGTGGTGGAACGACAGGCAAGCAAGCGAGGGATGGAATGAGCAGGCACACACCGACAAAGAGAATGATGTCTGGCTGGCTCCAGGCAGCACAGTGAGGGGCAGTGAGGGGCGGCACGGGGCAAGGGCATCGGCCGAGCCAGCGACGACACGTCAGGTACGTCGGGAATGGGACGAGGGGATGGCACCACGGGCAACATGAGGGGTGAAGGGAGCGGGACGAGAAATCAGTTGAGAAGAGGTGCGATTTGGAGAGGGGAGTGCAGAAACGTGAAGCTTTAGCGAGTGAAGAAGAGCTGTGGATGGGGGTGAGAGAAGGTGGAAGGTGGCGCAGGCGCGATGGAAAAATGATGAGCAAAATTGGTTCTAAGAGAGTGTACACACACAGCCTAGCCATAAAAAAAGAAGACTGCTTTGGAATCAAGCTGTTGCTGATGATGCCATAATGTTATGATTGATGATGGCATGAATGATGATGTCAAGACTCAAACGGTATGATACATGCGGTAGGCAGGATTCTAGATGAGCATCACCTTGAGGAGCTTCAAAGCAGCCAGGTCCTTCCAAGGATGCCACATGCCGTGCTGTGATTAGCGAGGTGGGACAGACGAGACAGCAAAGGCACACGCTGAGGGTAATATCGACAAAGTGCGTCATTTCGATAAAAGCTATACATACATACACAATGAGGGCGCGTCTCATGCTGACACGTGGCAGAGACCCCGTTCAGTGCCTACCACTAGCGCCCGTCAGCTCAACACATCCCCTATATCACCAGACCACCGCACTATATCGTATAATCACCTATGCACCAAATTCTTAGGATCACAAGCCCAACACATCTCCTATAATCACCGACTCACAACATCGCCTATAATCACAATTCGAAGCTTCCCACCGCTCCTCGGACCGCCCCCCGAAGCCTCAACGGCTCCAGTCACCGTTATTCCCGCTTCCCCTGTCCGCATTTGCCTCCCATCCACGTCAGCATCCACCCGAGTTCGTGATAGGCAATCGCCTCCCATCGCACTTAACGACGCGAATGCCGCTGCGACAGTCGCGGGTTCATGTAACACTGACCTGCCTTCGCCAACTGTCGCTAAGGGTCGCGGATTAGTCCCTCGCAAGGAAGCTAATGTGGGAGAAGAGAGGGAGCGGAAATTGCGCTGCCAGCAGGGAAAGCGGCGACCGTTGAAACAATTAGCGATACCTTGAAACGGACACAATTGGTGACACGAGTGGTATTTTAATTTAGCATTGAATAATTTGCATCTACCACTAGGCACGGTGCGAGCAATGGCTGATCTTATTCGCGGACAGCCAAGACCGTGTGCGAAATTATGTAATCGCAGAGTTCGCATGGGTTCATGAACGGCAGGTAACATAGCCTGAATGCGCCAGTGGCGACTGAGAGTGCAGCGAGGTTGCCGTGTGCGGCGTGAGCGGGTATTCGCGGGAGGTTTAGGAGATCAAGGGACAGGTGCACGCGTGTCGATTACGCTACTGGCGCCACGTGGCAGTACATAACGACCCTTGAGAGTCATCATTATTCCAGTTAAATTTGATAAAATTCATGGGGTGAAGGGTGATACAATTACGCATTGCATGACTTGCGGACCCTATGTAAGACCTTTCTTGATTCATGTTTTTCATGCTGTAAGGAAAATAGCTTTTCCTTACTTCGCATCCCCACTCAACGCGTACATCACTGTAGCACCACAGTCAGCACCGTTACCACTCGCGATCCTCGCCTCGACAAATCAGCCCGCCATTTTCGCACATCGCATCCCAACCTCACGGCTCGGCTGGTAACCCGCGCTCCGGGCCTCCACTTCGACACTTTCCCAACCTCAGTCCCAGGCCCGTCGCGCGACAACCACAGTCCATTACCGTTACCACTGTAGTTTCGCTATATATTCTTCGCTCATGCCTTCGCTCATTGTACTCTTGCTTCGATAGTGCAATTCTCGTTCATTCACTCAATTGCACTCGTAACACTTGGTATTCAGAGCCTACGATCTCCTCTCGGACCGCACCCAAATTTTCGCTTCCCCACTATCTCAATTTTTTGGGGGGGGGGGGGGGTAGACGTCTCTCAGCGATACAGCACCGCCGCTCGTAGTGCTCTCTCGTAAGCACGCACGGCCACGACCGAGGCTCTCGCTGAGCTCGCCCGACACCCCCGCCATGGCCGATTTCACGCTCGCCACATTGACGCAGGAGCAGCTTGATCGTCTCGTGCAGCAACTTGAAGACTCGGCGCTCGAAATCGCGACGCTCACGGCGGAACGTGACTCCGCCCGTCAACTATCCTTGGTGAACATTCCCGCAACATCACACGCGCCGACAAATGCATCTGCACAATCGGACGAGCCGATCATCATTTCATCCGGCACACCAACGCAACACGACAGCATGGGACAACGCTCAAGCGCAGCCAGTGATGGCGCCGCCCAGCCGATGCCGGGCATGGGAGGAAGTAGGGTCGCACCAAGCCCGCGGGAGCCCCGTGAAGCCCGTCGGCACATGGAATTCGCGGCGACAAGTGGCGAACATGCCATTATGGCACCAATGCCGCTCAAGCCACAACACCCGCCCTGCTTCGACCCAAGCCAACGTGGAGGTCCGACGGTTCAATCGTGGGTCTTCACGATGAACGTCTTCTTCGACGCGAACTACGTCGAGTCGGACGCCGCGAAGATTCGGTGTGCAGTTTCGCTGCTAAGGGGCCCCGCCATGGAATGGTGGCGAGTCATCGTGACGTCGCCACGCGCCTACGAGCCACCGTCGCACGAGGAAGGGCCCACGGGTCCAGCTGTCACCTGGAGTTCGTTCTGTGAGACCGCCCAATACAGCACGTGGGATGCGTGGTGCACAGGGCTTCGAGCGCGCTTCGAGCCGATTGCGGCTTCCATTTCGGCGCGCCAGAGACTGCGCACTTGGCGGCAACTCGAGTCGGTTCAAGATTATATGAGCGGTTTTCTCGCACTATGCGAGCAGGTCGGCTATATGCACGAAGCGGAGCGGGTGGACCGTTACGTCGGAGGGTTGAAGCCGGATATCTCGCACGAAACCATGCTGCGCGGACTCTCCAACTTCAACGAGATTCTCGCGCTCGCCGAGAAAATTGACATTCTACGCCGACCGAGACCGGGGTCCTACTACGGACATCGCCCTCGGGGACCGACTGAGCACGCCACTGTACACGCCGTTGCAACGAATGCAGCTGCCGCACCATTTAAGGGGCGCTGCTTTGCTTGCAACAGGCCGGGCCATCGCAAGAGCGAATGCCCAGAGGAGCTGTGGCGCCGCGGAGCAGAGCAGGGGAGGGAGTCTCAGAGGCAGGGAAACGCCAGCAGTCAGTAGAAGTTGGGCCAACTACTGACGAGACTGCCTGCTCGCCCAACCGCACCGACCCTCACCAAGTCACAGTACCGATTCACGCCATCGATCGGGCTCGGATGAATAAGGAGGGTACAGCGACGGATTGCCCAGTAGTGATCCACGGGAAAATACAGGGAGCAGCAGTGAAGATTTTTATTGATGGAGGAGCGAGTCACAGTTTAGTCAAATCCGCAACCGCACGAAAACTACAGTTAACACTTAACCGTTGCTTACCTGAGATAGACGCACGCTTAGTCGACGGCACGCCACTGGCCATACGGGAAAAGGTGGAGCGAGTAAAAGTCCGCTGCGGAGGAAACTTCGGGTTTACACAGGAAATGCTCGCAACGACACTGGATGGGCACGATATTTTATTGGGACGTGATTGGCTGCGACGGTATAACCCGCGAATTGACTGGAAGACGGGTAGCTGCACCGTGCGAAGTGTCAGAATCCCAACCACTAGACCATTGGGATAAAAGGGCTTGTTTCAGTAGCGGGTCAGTGCGCCCATAACCCCCCAGGCAAACGCGCCTGTAACCCCCCCTAGGATCGATCGGGGATCTCACAGTGTAGCTCTACTGACACCCCCCCACACTGGGAGGCCCAGGACTGAGCACAGTGGCAACGGCCAACATGTGCATACACCGGGATTCGAACCCGAGACCGCTCTGATACTATGTCAGAATCTCAACCACTAGACCATTGGGATAAAATGGCTTGTTTCAATAGCGGGTCAGTGCGCCCATAACCCCCCAGGCAAACGCGCCTGTAACCCCCCCTAGGATCGATCGGGGATCTCACAGTGTAGCTCTACTGACACGAAGTAGTGGTAACTGGGTCGAACTACCTCGCTGGCAATCGCCCGAGTCGTCAACGGTCCATGTCAACGCCATCACGATGAAACGGGTTGTCGCCGCTGGAGCTGACGTGTACGCAGTGGATATAGCATTAGTGGGAGAAGAGGAGCAGCCGAGCAATTTTTAGAAACTGTTGGCAGCAGTACCGCCCGACCTTCAGGAACTGTTGAAACGGTACCCGGGGATTTTTCCAGACGACTTACCGCAAGGGCTGCCACCTCAGCGGGCGCATGACCATAGGATCGAGTTAGAACCGGGGGCACATCCAACTGTACAGCGCTAGTTCAGGCTGACACAGCCCGAGCTCGACGAACTGAGGAAGCAGTTAGATTATTTGTTAGAGAAGCAGTTCATCCGACCGAGCTCGTCACCATTCACCGCACCGATCTTGTTCACACCGAAAAAAGACGGAGGGTTTCGCATGTGCATCGATTACCGAGCGCTTAACAGGGTAACAGTCAAATCGCGGTACCCCATTCCCCGCGCCGACGAACTGATCGACCAACTGCGAAGAGCACGGGTCTTTTCGAAAATAGACTTATGGGGGGGTCGTTCGAATACACGGTGATGCCTTTCGGGCTGACAAACGCACCCGCAACATTTCAGATGACCATGAACGAGGCGTTTAGGCCACTCTTAGATAAATGCGTGATAGTTTACCTCGACGACATCCTCGTTTACAGTCGCGACAAGCAGCAGCACTTAGTAGATCTCGAAGCAGTGTTTAAAATTTTAGAGAGACATCGGCTACTCACTAAAGGCTCTAAGTGTGAGTTTTTTCGGGACAGGCTAGATTTTTTAGGGCACGTTATTTCGGAGGCTGGAGTTGAAATTGACCCCAAGAAGCTGGATACGGTCAAAGCGTGGCGTCCCCCGACGAACATCACGGAGCTGAGGAGTTTTTTAGGGTTCGTTAATTACGTCCGTCGGTTCGTCCCCGACATGGCACGATTAACTGCCCCGCTGACTGATCTGCTACGCAAGGGGGTCGCTTTACGTGGGGGGAGAAAGAGCATGCTGCCTTCTCTGCCCTGAAACATGTCCTCTGTTCACCACCCGTCCTGCGCATTGCTGACCCACATCGCCCCTTCGAAGTTGTTAGAGACGCAAGCGACATCGCCATCGGAGCCGTACTGTTACAGGACTTCGGCAACGGCCTACAGCCCATCGCATACGAATCACGAAAGCTGCATCCGCCCGAACGAAATTACCCGATACACGACCGCGAAATGCTCGCGATCGTGCATGCATTCAAAGTGTGGCGCTGCTACTTGACCGGCGCAGACGTGACAGTACGGACAGACCATCGATCCCTACAGTACCTCCGCGCACAGCCCCACCTCAACCCACGACAGATTCGGTGGCTCGACTTCCTCGAGTCAAATTTCCACTACACAGTCACCTATAAAAAAGGAGCCTCGAATATCGCCGACGCACTAACCCGCCCCACTGCCCAGATCCATGCGATACTACTCGCCCAGACCAGCCTGCTACTGATAGGACTATTTACCCACGGATACCAAACGGACCCATTCTTCACACGAGGAAACTCGCAGCAATTTGCAGCAGCCAAGGGAGTCTATTACGTAAAAGTCGGGACCGAACGCATCTGGGTACCAGGGTACACACTACTACGGGAATTACTGTTACAGGAAGCACATGACGGAGTTACCTCGGAGCATTTCGGAGTAGAGAAAACACGGCAGCAGCTGCAGCTGCAACGGTATTATTATTGGCTCGAAATGTTGACCGACGTGCAGCGACACGTGGCATCGTGTCCCACTTGCCAGATCATGAAGTCAACCCGGAAGCGGCCGGCGGGACAGTTGCAACCAATCCCACCCCCAGAGCGCGCTTGGCAGCAGGTGACGATGGACTTCGTCACGGGGTTACCGGCCGGAGCGAGTGGGAATGACGCGATCCAGGTCGTCGTCGATCGACTGACGAAAATGGCACACTTCGCAGCCTGCAAGAAATCAATCACAGCCGAAGAAACTGCTCGCCTCTTCATCTCCACCGTCGTTCGACTGCACGGGATACCAGCATCAGTCATCAGCGACAGAGACACGAAGTTTACCAGCAACTTCTGGCGGAACCTGTGGCAGCAGTTCGGCACGCGACTACAATTTAGTTCATCATATCACCCCGAAACAGACGGACAGACAGAACGGACAAATCAAACCATGGAGCAACTCATCAGGGCCACGTGCGACGATCCAAACACGTGGGAGCAACAACTGCCACTCATCGAATTCGCATACAACAACGCTCCATCCGCCACAACCCAACAGTCACCGTTCTACCTGAATTACGGACAAGACCCAACAGTACCCATGACCCCGAATCCCGACAATCCGGTTCCACGCGCGCAACAGTTCGCTGAAATTCTGCAAGCAGCACGGACCAGGGCAGCAGACGCAATAAAAAAATCGAACATCATCGCTAAACGCAACGCCGACCGCCACCGCAGACCTGTCACTTACCAGCCCAACGACCTAGTTTTACTCGACACTCAGAATCTCCGACTGCCCATCGCACCCAAACTCCGCCCCCGATACTGTGGGCCATTTCGTATCAGCCACATGATAACACCCATCACCGCCCACCTCCTCCTCCCTGCTGACTGGTACGTCAGCCCCTCGTTCCACGTTAGCCTGCTTCGCCCCTATGTCCCATCCACAAGCCAACTCCCACGCAATCGCCCAGCCAGCATGGCACGACCGCCAACCGAACCAATCATCGTCCCCGACAAAATCCTGAGCCACAGAGTTCGTGACCCCCGAGGAGCCCGAAAGATCGAGTTCCTGATCCGCTGGAAAGACCGTACACCCACCGAAGACAATTGGGTTCCCCTGGACAGAATCGAAAACCACCCTGTTCTCACCGAATATCTGCGCAGCTGAAACTTCAGGGACGTCCACGCACTTTCGTAGGGAGGACCTCCTTAGGAGGGGGGGGGGTAGTGTAAGGAAAATCGCTTTTCCTTACTTCGCATCCCCGCCCAATGCGTACATCACTGTAGCACCACAGTCAGCACCGTTACCACTCGCGATCCTCGCCTCGACAAATCAGCCCGCCATTTTCGCACATCGCATCCCAAACTCACGGCTCGGCTGGTAACCCGCGCTCCGGGCCTCCACTTCGACACTTTCCCAACCTCAGTGCCAGGCCCGTCGCGCGACAACCACAGTCCATTACCATTACCACTGTAGTTTCGCTATATATTCTTCGCTCATTGTACTCTTGCTTCGATAGTGCAATTCTCGTTCATTCACTCAATTGCACTCGTAACACATGCCAATAACGCACCACTGCAGTTCCCCTGCTTAAAGCCGTTGGTCCATATTGCACAAGTTTTAATATCATGACGAGAGGGGGTTTTACTGGTTCGGGTTTTGGCGAGGGTTCCCGATTTCGTGAAATTCATTTTTTTTTCGCCAAACCTAGCCAGCCCCGCGTTTTTACCCTGGTGGGTGTGTCAGACTTCGGAAGTCCCAAATTGCAGCTGCGGTACTTTTCAAAGCTTGCACAGCCCCACTTCGTCAAGTTTTTAAAACTTGACCCGCGCGGTCCGCTGCGGGTTTTAATATATGCTGGGAAGGGATGGTGAACATATGCTACCAAATTGATGCTACACTGGATGGAACCCTACCCTTTTGCTGCTCAATTGGTCATCAGTAAGACGCAATCAGTTGGTTACTAAGAAAACACATCAACTAGTGGAGAGCGAATAGTAGCCGTTGAAATTGATCTGTGTGAGCAGCTTGTGCACTTGTGGTGTTGATACAGAGTGGTGCAGCATCCCCACCGACAGATACAAAGCGCATGCCTTCGCATCCAGCTCCTATCCAGACAAAGAAGGGAGGGAGGAGGGAGAGAGGGAGAAAAGGAGAGGGAGAGCAGCTTGTGCACTTGTGGTGTTGACATGGAGTGAACCACCGACAGGTACTGTGCACACGCCTTAGCATCCAGCTCCTGGCTTGAAAGGAGAGAGGGTGAGGAGGAGAAGGGTTGGGTATAAGCGAGGGAGTGCAAATCAGATGGCTCTCAGATCACATGGCAGCTGCAGCAGTAAAGATCACGTCAGGAGGAGCAGCGGCACAAGCACCAGAAGCAAGAGCAGCAGCAGCAGCAGCAGGGGCGGGGGAGAGGGACATGAGACAGAGTGTTGCAGGCAGCAGCATGCGCATGGGAGGAAGGGAGGAGGGTGCACCTTGCGCATGTCTTGCAGCAGTGGGAGAGGCAGCGGTGCAGAGTGGTGGAGGCGGCGACAGAGCTTCATGGCGAGCACGTGCAGCGAGTGCAGCGGGCGCGTGAAGTGCGTGTTGCCCAGCATCACGTGGCGCTCCAACGATGCGAGAAAGCTGCAGGTGCAACGTGAAACATAAGGGGTTGAAGATGGGAGATGGCACGGGGTGGGGGGGGGGGGGGGGGGTGCGTGTTCCCCAGCATCACATGGCGTTCCTGTAATGAGAGGAAAGGGAGGGATGAGGGAAACACATGCAGGTGGGAGATGGCACAAGGAGGGGTGGGTGAAGTGCGTGTTCCCCAGCATCACATGGTGCTGCAATGAAGAGAGGAAACTGAGAGCACGATGGAGAACACAAGGGGTGGAGGCAAGAGATAGCACAAGGGAGAGTGAGTGCTAAAGTGAAATTAGAAATCGTGGTTAGACAACTCGTTGGGGTCTCCTCTCAGGATCTCAACAGCAACTCCAATAGTCACGCGACTCCAATAGTCACGCGACTCCAATAGTCACGCGACTCCAATAGTCACGCGACTCCAATAGTCATGCGACTCCAATAGTCACGCGACTCCAATAGTCACGCGACTCCAATAGTCACGCGACTCCAATAGTCACGCGACTCCAATAGTCACGCGACTCCAATAGTCAGGCGACTCCAATAGTCAGGTGACTCAGGGCGTGTTAAATCCTCGCACAATTCCGAAAATGGGGTGTGGCCGAATTTTCGATGACCACATGGTCGTCATATTTTTCGCGAACAACGACGAGGTGGCCGATTCAGAGTCGACTCTTTTTCAGCCACCATTTTCAGTTTTGGCGATTTAACAACTTTGGTGGCCGATTTGCAGGCCGGTTCGGAAAAGTTGTTAAATTTGCAGTTACTACAGTAGTTGAGTATGTGCGACGGGATCGCACTTCTGACAACGATCTTCTCATTTGACGCGATCACAAAAGTCGTCGTTAGGCGAAACCGTGCGACGTCATAGGCGATTGTCGCACACTGTGTCGACTGCTTGGCCGTTTTGGAGTCGACTCGGTGTCGTTTCCGTGTCGACTTTTTAAACGGCCATCAGATTCGTGATTTTTTAACGAAAAATGTGACTGTCGCCACCTGACTGACGAATGTCGCAAACCGGTTACCTTCACAGAAACGGCCCGACGGATTGTGGCCGTATTTTGTGAGTTTCCGATTTAACACGCCCTAAATGCCTCCCAAGTGAGTGCGTGATGTGGTTATCGAATAACGACAGGTCTCCCACTCAAGGAACGATTGGATCATCGTGGATGAAAACATGTCAGGGTTGGTGTGAAAATGGCATTGAAACGTTGAAACAAGTGGGGCAGGGGATGCATGGCATGTGAGGTGAGGGGGTTGCGTGCACCGGTCATGGGCGGCAAGCAGGAAGGAGAAGTCGGGGTTGGCTCGGATAGAGGCGAGGAATGCCGCCCACTCCACCTCCACCACGTCCGCCTGCAGGGGTGACGATCAGCAATTTGCAAGGTCGACGATGCAAGACAGCACACATACATTATTTTAGCACATATACCCACACGGCAGCACACATACATTCTTTTAGCACATTTACCCACACGGCAGCACACATACATGCAGGCAGCACACATACATGCAGGCAGCACACACTCATACAGGTAGGTTTGCAGGCTGGTGATCATCTGCAGCATCTCCTTGCGCATCATGCATGGAAGCAGCACACAGCAGCAGCATACATATACATGCATGCAGATAAAACAAATACATGCATGCAGGCAGCACACACGCACATGGAGGTACGTCTGCAGGCTGGTGACGATCTGCAGCATCTCCTTGAGCATCATGCACAGCATCAGATGCTCCTTGCGCTCCCCCAGCGATATGCGCACCACACCGCTGCTGCCCCCTCTCCCACTCCCCGCCCCTCCCACACTACCTGCCGCCACACTTGTGCTTCTAGCGAAGCCAGCAGCACCAGCAGCACCAGCAGCAGAAGCGGTAGCAGGGCCAGCATCAACGCCACCACTCCTGACAGCCTCCCCACTGCCAGCTGGCAGCGACCAAGTCCGCTTCATCTGCCCCTCCTCCTCGCCCCTCCTGCTCCCCACCGTCTCCCCTCTACCTTTCCCCTGAACCCCTCCCACCCCTGCCCCTCTGAAACCCCCTTCTCCACCTCTCACCCCTTCACCCCTCCCAGCCACCACGCCACGCGGCCCTTTCTCAGGCAGCCCTCGCATCCTGGCCCCCTCGGCTCTGACCTTGCACAGCAGCAGCCAGGCGAGCTGCAGCTCGAGGGCCACGCGGCGCAGGCGGAAGAGGAACGCTGCCACGCTGTTGTAGCGCTGGAGAGCGGTGGGGGATAGCACCAGCTGTAGCGGCCATGCTACACGCGTGTTGATTACTAGCCGGTCCCACCAGTTCACACTGCCGCCGCTGCTGCTGCTGCCAGACCCCCCTGACTGTGTGCTCTGACTTTGCCCCCGCCCCTGTTGCTGCGCCTGCCCCTCCACCCTCCCCTGCCCCTGCCCTTGCCCCTGCGCTTGCCCTTGCCCTTGCCCCTGCCCCTGCGCTCCCCACTGTGCGCGTCCCGGCCCCTGCTGCGGTGTGGGCAAGCCAGCCTGCACCACCCCCTGCACGCGTCGTTCACCTGACTCCACGCCCCTGAGCCGTGAAGAAGACGGGTCGAACGGGGTCACCACCAACCCTGTACCGCCACCACCTCCTCTTGCTAATGCTGCCGCTCCTGCCCCTGCTCCTCCTCCTGCTGCTGCCCCTGGTGTTCCAGCTGCTATGTCGGCTGCTGTTCCCAGTCTTGACAGGCCTGCTGCTGCTGCCTCTGGTGCTGGCTCTGCCGCAGCTGGTGTGGCAGGCGGGGCTGATGGCTGAGCGGACGGCTGAGCAGATGGCTGGGCTGATGGTTGCACAGACAGTTGAGGCCTTGTCAGGTCAGGGGGGATGAACCTGGACGCATGCAAGTTGCACACCGTTTGATGCCATGCCACACCATGTATCATGATCCGACACCATGCCACACCATGTATCACGATCCGACACCATGCCACACCATATATCATGATCCGACACCATGCCACACCATGCCATGCCCATGATAATGCCATCCTTGGTTGTCAGTGCAATAACTCATCAACTGCACCAGAACAAGTACACTCATGCTAGGTTCTCCGTTCCTCTAGCGTCTCCGTGCATCGCTGAGTTCAAGAAAGAAAAGGTCAAAGAGCAACATGCTCATGTGGGACAAGAGACAAAACCTCGCTGGAATTAAGTGTAAAAAGCACTTGCTTGCAGAGTGCCTATGAGAATGTTGAAAACCACATGGAGTGGGAGCAGAGAGAGCCATGGCCTCACTTGAAGGAGAATGTGCGGAAGTACTTGAGAGTCGCCTCCTCCCCGATGCATGCTGATGCCTGGTGGGTGGGCGAGCGGTGGGCATGAGGGAAGGCATGAGAGATAGGGAACAAAGGCATGGAGGAGGGGGGAAATGAAAGGGCGGAGATTGAAAGTGGTTTGAGTTGAATGTGAGGCATGATGCATGAGTGGGAGAGAATTGTAACTTGTTAAAATCTTGGTCAAGGCATCAGCAGCACCTGTGTCATCGAGCCCATCACTCCATTCCATTGCACATGTTCCATTTCACACCATCCCATTCCATTCCATCACAATACAACAGACCAATTTCACACATCCGCTCCAATCCCGCCATACCAACCGAGTCACTACCACTCACATCACAGACACGGTGGGTCGTACGTAACGGAATGTTCTCTCATGTCACACGCCGGAATGGTCCGTTTGCAGCGACTGATTCCTGTGCTAATGCCCGTACTACGTTAAATGAACGTTAACCTTGTGGGTATGAGAAGGAAAGTGTGCAAACACAGACCCACAAGATTAATGCTCACCTCGTGTGGTACGGGCAGTAGCACGGGAATCAGCCGCTGCAAACGGACCATTCCGCATGTGGCATGGGAGGGAACAGTCATTCTGTTACGATTCGCCGTGTCTGTGGTGCGATAAGAAGTGACTCCGCTGGTACGGGCGGCAGTGATACGGACCAACGCCACCACCATCCACCGCTTGCTACTGGCTGTCCTGGTCACACAGGACAGAACATGCCAAACAGTGCCAAACTCCCCCACCTTCTCAACGGCCAGTTGCAGCTTGTCGTTGGCAACCCTGGCCCTCACGTCTGGCTGTGCCAGCACCTCCCTCAGCGACTGCCACACGCTCTGTGAGAAAGGGAGGGGTGGGAAAGCGGAGGAGAATGCGGGTGTTGATATCTCAAAACAGGTTGTGTGACATGTCAAATGCTGTCTTGTCTTCCTTCACCTCGGCCTCTCTCTCCTCACGTCCGCTTGTGCCAGCACTCCGTGCAGTGACTGCCACATGGTCTGTGACACAAGCATGTGGGAGAAAGGAGGGGAGAGTGTGGCGCGAGTTTTGATGTCTTGGAATAGGATTCCAGATGCCGCAGAACAAGTCCTCTTTCCCCTGGGCCTCATGTCCGCCTGGGTGCCAGGCCACAACCTCCCGCTGTAACTGCCACGCGCTCTGCGAGACAGGGAGGGGCAGAAGGGGGAAGACCGAGTGGGATACACAATATCTATCTCCATGCAAGCCTTTTTTCTCGTGGGCCTCTCCGCACGTCTCACTGTGCCAGCACCTCCCTCAGTGGCTGACAGCTGAAAGACGTGTGAGCTGATCTGATCTTGCAATGCTCTTGAGATCAATCCAGAAGAGCCTTCCCCCACCCTGCTCACCTGCATGAAGGCGCCCCCTCCGCCCAGCAGGAAGAAATGCACGGCGTGCAGATGGCCAAATAGGTCGCTCTCCCTCACCACCAGCTGCCAGGGGAGCAGGGGAGCATGGACCAACAGTAAAGGGCGATGGGCAAGCAGAGGGGGGGGTGGGGGGTTGGAGGGTGGTAAGGTGATGGCACGGTGGGTGGCGTGCAGATGGCCACTCTCTGTGACCACCAGTTGCCGGGAGAACAAGGACTGGCGGGGGGAGGCACGGCGGTCAGGGGTGGTAGGGTGAAGACAGCTGGCGGTGCAACTGCGAGCAGCGGGAAGGGAAGGTGGTCAGGTGATGCGATAGCAGCCGGTTGGAAGGTGGCTGAGAATACGATCCCTCACACTACAACTAAGTGCCCTCTCTCACTCTCTCTTACCACTGCCATTCCCCTTTTGTCGTAACCATTTGTTTGTGAAGGATAGGATCCTTCATGCGAAAACGAAGGAAAGGAGAAGAAGAAGGAGAAGGAGGGGGAGGAGGAGGAGGAGGAGGAGGAGGAGGAGGAGGAGGAGGAGGAGGAGGAGGAGGAGGAGGAGGAGGAGGAGGAGGAGGAGGAGGAGGAGGAGGAGGAGGAGGAGGAGGAGGAGAAGAAGAGGAAAAGAACGCGTCAGCAACACGCAGACCTGCTACAGTGCCTTGCGATGGCCATTTTGTTCTCAGAAGCAGAGAATCTATGAATACGCATGTACAAACATCAAGAGAACAAAAGCCTAAACACACCTGCCACAGGCGGTGCGCTGCTCTTTTCCTCGCTGCCTCCACCACCTCATGCACCCGCTGCTCGTCCCATGCATGCTTCGTGCGCCCCTCCTGGCCCCACAGGGTCATTGGGTGATCACACGGAGTGATTCGGATAGAGACGGAAAATTTTGGGGGGAGGGGTGTATTGAGACGTTTCAGAGATGCCGCCCCTGGTGGCCCCACATGGTGCTTGGGATGGAAGAGAGGGCAGGGATGGCTCAGAGAGTCACGTGTGAAAGGGTCAACGAGGGGCCGAACGGCATAAGATGGGGCCATATCACAGTGCATGCATTGCATCCCCATAGTACCATGGGTGGCTCTTGCTGTGCTGGACGATGGATGGTGGCTGGACTTAGAAACCAGGAGACCAGGATGGAGTGGAGAGGGTAGATTAGGAGAAGCGAGGAGGCCTAACTTCCGAAAAAAAAAGACTTCGAACATCGCAAAAGCTACCAACAATGCAGAGTTGCTCTGACTGAATCGAGCACAGTGCAGCGAAGCGAGCATCGCACTCACCCGGAGCGCCAGCACATAATCGAGGAGTCTCTCCGCATCTGCCCCATGTGTGCCATACCTTGCATGCTGCTCACCCCTTTCCACAATCATGCACAACACTCACCCGCAGCGCAGCGCCGGCACACTGTAAAGCATTCCCTTGGCGATTGCCTTGTGGGTCCTGTACCTGCTGCCCAAGCCTTTTCCACCACGCACAGCACTCACTCACCCACATGGCCCGTTATCGTGTAGCCAAGCCTGCATCCCGCCCCTTCCTTGCTCCGCACAGCACTCACCCGCAGAGTGAACACACCGTGGAATATTCTCTCCACGTCTGCTTCCTGCATGCCATGCCTGCTGCCCCACAAGCTCCCCCCTTCCTCTGCAGACCACTCACGCGAAATGCCAGCACGCTGTCGAGGATTCTCTTGACGTCTGCCTCGTGCATGCGCTGCCCGAACCTCCCTTGCTCCGCACAGCACTTACCCGCAGGAGAAGCACACTGTCGCATTCCCCCTCATTGCCTCACATCTCTTGAAACACTCACGCGCAATGCCAGCACGCTGTCGAGAATTCTCTTCACGTCTGCCTCGTGCTTCCGCTGCCTGCTGCTGCCCGACCCTTGCCCGCTCAGCTCGCTCTCACTGCGCCGCCCTGCCTCCTGCAGCAGCAGCATGGCTCGCCCCACAAACAACGCCGCCTCCGCTGTCTCAGGTGCAAAGTCAGGCGGCAGCTGGGCCTGGTTGGGGTGGGCGAGGGCGGAGTGGGAAAATGGTTTGTGGGTTGGCAGTGATCATATCTGTTCTCCTCTCGCCCCACAAACCTCCGCTATCTCACATGCAAAGTCAGGGGGCAACTGGGCCTGGTGGTTCAAGTGGGAGGGAGCGGAGTGGGGAAAGTGGGTTGGAGCTAGCTAGGCAGTACTTGTGAATGTTCTCCCTCGGCCCCACCCCCCATTACAAACAGCGCTGCCTCCGCTGTTTCAGATGCAAATTCAGGAGGCAGCTGGGCCTGGTGTTTGGGGCGGGAGAGGAGTGGGGGAAGTGGGGTGGGTAACAAGGAGCATGTGAGGCTGGGCGGTGGGTGGTGGCGCGCAAACACATTACCCACCCGCACGTCCCCATCTGCCCCACAAACGCCCATCCGCCCCCCCCACACGTCCATCCGCCCCACCTCATTGATGCTGTACTCGTCCCAGGAAACGATGCCGTTCGTCCTCTCTGCTCTGCTCTCCACCACTGCACCGGGTCCGGGTGCTGGTGGGGCAGCAGGTGCCGCCCTGTGGAGCCATGCCGCTCACACGCACAGACCCGTGCATGCATGCACACATGCATGCACACATGCATGCACAGCCAGATATGCACACGCACACATACACCTACACCTACACATACACATACACATACACATACACATACACATACACATACACATACACATACACATACACATACACATACACATACACGCATACACAGACACACATACACATGCACATACACATGCACATACACATGTACATACACATGCACATACACATACACATACACATACACATACACATGCACATCCACATGCACATACACATACACATGCACATGCACATGCACATGCACATGCACATACACATGCACATAACACATCCACATCCACATGCACATGCACATGCACATGCACATGCACATGCACATGCACATACACATGCACATGCACATCCACATGCACATGCACATGCACATGCACATGCACATGCACATACACATACACATACACATACATTCATACACATGCACATGCACACATACACATGCACATACACTTGCACATACAAATACACATACACATACACACATGCACATGCACATGCCCACCAACCACACATACATCAGATAAACGAACAAGAGATCAAGTAACCGGAATGAGAGGAAAGGGGGGTCGCAGCAAGGGAGGACACAATTCCTTGTCATTGAGCCAACATAAGAAGCCAGCAGAGAGAGGAGGGGGAGAGGAGGAGAGAGGAGGGGAGAGGAGAGAAGAGGAGATGAGAGGAGAGGAGAGGAGAGGAGGAGGGGGAGGGGAGGGCAGTGAGCACCTGGAGATGAAGAACTCAGCGCCACCATCGGGGGGCAAGGCGCCAAACGCCATCCAGTGCGCCAGCTGCCCCACCCACACGCGCTGACAGTGGCGGATGCACCTGTGGGGAGCGATGCATGCAAGGGGAGGGATAGAAGGGGGCAGGGGGGCAGCAACGTGAATAGGACTGAATGACGCTGAGAGGGGAAACGAGATCTCTCATGTGGCACATATAAATGCGATGCGAAAGTGACTAGGTGAGCTTACAAAGAGAACGTGACTGTATAGAGAAAGAATGGCAGCTTGACCGATTAGAATGAAATTGGCTAGCTGCTTACACGTCGAGAGCAATTGATAGTATGATAGGCCCGAAGCTGCTCTCCTGCTCCAGATAGCGCAGCAGATGGGCACCTGTGATGTTGCCTTGCTCTATAGCGGATGTGACTCTAACGAGGCCTGTCAGCAGCTGCTCATACTGCAGAATGGATAAGAAGGATGGAGGTAATTTATCAATCAAGACGAGGCTAAAAAACGACGATCCAGTGGAGCGGCAGAGTGGAGAGGCAAAGTGGAGAGCAGAGTGGAAAAGTGGCACTTTGAAACATTCTTGGAAACAGAAACAGTGAGGGCAATTCAGCTTACCACGGATAGCTTGGCCCAGATGGTTCGCACGGGGAGTGGGGAGGAGAAGAGGCGGTCCACCTCGTGTGTGTACGGCAGCAGCGCCTCCTCCTCCACACACGTCGCTAACGCACACTGCAGACCACTCGCACCCCCCGCCGCCCCTGCCAGCACCCTGTGCGACGCATCCCGCCCACTTTCTGACACTGAGGTAATCCCCCCCGTCGCTCCAGCAATGCTGTATGGTGCTGTGGCTGAGGTTGAGTGTGAGGCTGGGAGTGCGGCTGCGAGCGACGCTCTTGCTGCTGCGCTGATGGCGGCGCTGCGGGCGTCCAGGAGGCGGCGGGAGAAGCGGTGGATCTCCGTGACGCACGCTGCCAGCTGGAGGAGCTTCTCCACCCATGGCCTGAGACGTGGACGCATGGGATTAGGGCGTGTGGATGACGTGGACACGCGGATGAGGATGTATGGATCACGTGTACCAATCTACTTGAGAAATCTCAAACGCGAAATCCAGTACTTTTGAGCAGAAGATAATAAATTATAGATTATACCAAGAACGCTGCTAATCCAAGAACACTGCGACGGCCAGATGCGTACGGCGGCGACTCATGACACGAGATTCATTCTCCGAGGCGCTCCGAAAATCGACTCACGACACTGAAATCCAGCTAAAAGAGATTCCATGCCGCGGAGTGAGATTGACGACGGACGTAAATCAAGGCGACGCTGGCAAGCATACACCAAATTCGTCGCAGGGACACCACGAGGAACACCTTGATGGAGACTCTGAGGGAGGGAGACCGTGAGGGACTCACAGCTCGTCCGTTGGATCAAACGCGTCCTCCGAAATGAACGGCGGATGCGGTGGCTGTGTCCACGAGGCAGCCTCGCGCTGCGAAGCGTTCGAATTCGCTGCGAGCTCTCGTGGCTGGCCGCGAAGAGCCACCAGCAGCTCCTGCCGCGACGAGATCATCTAGGCGGGGAAACAAGAGGTTCAGATGGGTGCGGCGGAGACTCGTTCTACGAAAATCTTGAGTGTTTGAAAGCTGGCACTCAGAGGAGACTCAGAAGCTAAGACGGGAAAGTAACTGCTGGAATCGCACAGAAGGAGCATCCGCTTTGCTGCGCCATAAGAAATCGCTTTCGCGGGCCGGTCACAAAAGGAAACGAAACGAAACTGAAACCAACCACTGTTCGGAAAACAATACCAAATCGGAACATTTCATGAGCAGTGGCCACTTGGCGCTCGGAAAGGTCAGCCTTCCCGCGTTAACGAAGCGAGCAGGTTCGATTCTTGTGCGCGAATATGCATGTTGCGGAGGGCAGGTTCGATTCTTGAGAGTAACCACCCGGTCCGGTTCGCTTCGTAAACCGTCAAAATGGCTACGCGCCCTACACGCAAACCCAATCCACAAGTTACAAGCCCAGAATTCCTTCTCGAATCCTCTCCAACCTCAGCCACCACCGATTTCCACCATTGAGTTTCAACTGTCGAGCTCACAATTCGTGATTTGGATAATCTTCAGACACTGCTATTCAACTGGTAGCAGACCGAGTCTTCGTGCAGTCATGGCGGCCGGCGGCGGCGACGACGAGAACATCGCCGATGGATCCTCGTTCGAGATTAAGATAAAGACGCTCGATAACCGCACCTTCGATGTTGCCGTGCATCCCGAGGTGGGATCGTTCACCGCGCTTTCCTTTTCCCGACGTTAGGGGATTGCCATTTAGCTAATGCGTTTCACGTTCCCAGGTCCACCATCCATCCGCGCCTTCAGTTTCGGCAGTTCGCCGTCGTCTCTCTGTCTTCCCCCACCCAGATTCTCTTGTCGACCCTGAACGACGCCGGTGCACCGCCGCTGAGCAGTGCTTGCGGCAAGTGCTCCTCGGGAAAGATGCTCAAGTCAAATTGGTTATGAGAGCTTTCAAAGTCAAATGGGTGCTCAACATCCAACCGTTTTTCTTACCTCCTCCTGCCTCCCCCCTTCCCTCGTCTCGCCGAGCAGATGCTCGTCTCCACCCTCAAGGACCGCATTGCACCGCTGCTGGGCGTGCCAGCGGGCAGGCAGCGGCTGGTGTTCCGCGGGAAGGTGCTCAAAGACGACAGCACCGTCGCCTCCTACGGTATGCCGCGCGCCATCTCTCCCCCCTTCCCCCCGCCGCTACGGTGTGCGCCATCTCTCCCCCCTTCCCCCCGCCGCTACCGTACGCGCCATCTCTCCCCCCTTCCCCCGCCGCTATGGCATGCGCCATTTCTTCCCCCTTCCCCCCGCGTCCTATGGTACACGCCATCACTTCCGCCTTCCCCCCGCATCCCACGGTACACGCCATCACTCCCCCCTTCCCCCCGCCACTACAATAGGTGCCTCATTCCCCCGTTCTGCCTGCTGCTACTGTAGGCGCCATCACTCCCCCTTCCCCCCCCCCCCGCCGCTACTGTAGGCGCCATCACTCCCCCTTCCCCCCGCCCCCCTTCCCCCCCCCGCCGCTACTGTAGGCTCCATCACTCCCCCTTCCCCCCGCCCCCCTTCCCCCCCCGCCGCTACTGTAGGCGCCATCACTCCCTCCTTGCCCCTGACCCCCTTCCCCCCGCTGCTATGGTAGGCTACGGTAGGCCGCGTGCTACGGTAGGCCGCGTGCTACGGTAGGCCGCGTGCTACGGTAGGCCGCGAGCTACGGTAGGCCGCTTGCTACGGTAGGCGGCTGCGCTACTGCTGTGATCCATGCGTGGTTGGTTGGTTGGCAACTTGGTGGGGCACATACTCTCTGCCCTCATGCTCCACTCCACTCCACTGCACTCTAATCGGCTTAAAGTCGAATTGGGCATTGCGTTTGAGCTTGTGTGAAACAGGCAAGTCATGTGACTGCGTCCCCTTGTGTCTTTGCTGTGCATGTCTCATGCGCCCCCGACCAACCCTGAGCCCGAGAGGCCACGTATGCATGCATCTGCTGTTGCTTCTGGGTCGAGTGAGGGTGGTGCATGTGAGTGGCTTAAACTAGAATCACTGCTCTGCTCTGCTGTGATCTGATCTGCACATCTGATTGGCTACCTGCCGATCACCTGTGCTTATGTGTGCTTGCAGGACTAGAGGCAGGGCACGTGGTGCATCTGGTGTCGCGGCTGGGGCGAGCCGAGGGGGAGGGGGGGGATGGTGGAGGGGAGGGAGGGATGGGGCGGACAAGGGCAGGCGAGGGGGCGGGGGGAGGTGGGCCTGGGGGCGGTTCCGGCCAGCCACTTACTCACATGCAGATAGGTCAGCGCGTGTATGCTGTATCCTGTAACTTGCACCACGTAAAACTCTGGCATGCCTTTTCCCTCACACGCGCACCTCCGCTGCATGCACATGCTGGTTAATCCGCACATTCACCTTCTTAATCTGCACGTATTGGACCTGTTATCATTGTTCAACCGCACTGCACCGGGTGCCATGCCGTGCCGCTCTCACCATCCCATGTTGTCAACTTGTCATGTGCGTGCATCTGTACGAGCAGACGGCATGCCCGGTGCAGCGACTCTCCACATGGGGTCGGTCAACATTCACACGGACGGCTCCCCAATGATGCCGGACCTTAACCAGGTGAGCCACTGCACTGCACCACTGCTCCACCACCACTGCTCCACCACCACTGCTCCACCACCACTGCTCCACCACCACTGCTCCACCACCACTGCTCCACCACCACTGCTCCACCACCACTGCTCCACCACCACTGGTAGCGAGCGCTGGTTTTATGTGGCTGGCGTCTGCTATCTATCCCCCTTGTGGTGTGGGTGAGCCGCCTCCACACGGGCTGGGTCAATATTCACACGGGCTGGGTCAATATTCACACGGACAGCTCTGAGGCTCTCCCATGCCATGCCATGAGACTGGGCCTGAATTAGGTGAATGGACCCCATGCCTGCCTGGCGACACCCGGGCCTCGTTACTTTGCAACACCTGAGCTGTGCATTGCACTGCACACTTGTCGTTGCTTTGCTCTGTTCACATGTGTACGTGCACGTTCATACACAATCGGACACTTCCGCTGGTGGTTTTACATGAGTGAATATGCATAATGGCACATGAATGCGCACATGGGCGCTGTGCTGCACTGTGCACCCGCGCATACACATTCGTGTCTGCGTGGCATGACTTCCCTCGAACGATTCTTTTGCGCCTCAGGAACTGTTCACCTCCTCCCCCTCGCACTCTCACGGCACATACTGTGTTGGAGTGCTCAGCCCCAACCCAATGGGCTCGCAACCCCATCTGCCTGAATGAACCTCTTCGCCAGCAACACCACTTCTAAGACGCTTCAAAGCCTTCCCCTTATCTCCTTTCCCCCCATCTTCTCCCTGCAGATTGTGACTGGCGTTCTGAGCTCCATTGGACTTAACCCCTTTGCAGGCAACACCAGCGCCACCATCAACGTGACACAGCCGGGCGGCACAGCGAGTGGGGCGACAGGGGGAGGGTCGGCAGGAGCAGCAGCAGGGAGAGGAGGAGCGGGAGGAGGGGCGGCAGGAGGAGGAGGGACAGGAGGAACAGGGAGAGGGGTAGGAGGGGGAGCGGAAGGAGGAGCGGGAGGGAGAGGAGGGGATGGCTCCGGGAGGTCACAGGGAGGGCCGGAGTTTCAGATTCATGTTGACACTGTCATTCAAGGCCCCATGCCCATGCCCATGGGTGTTCCTATGGGCGTTCCCATGGGTGTGCCCATGCACATGCCGATGGGTATGCCCATGCAGATGGGTATGCAGATGCCTATGCACATGCCTATGGGTATGCCTATGCCCATGCCTATGGGCATGCCTATGCCTATGCCAATGGGTGCCGGTAATCCCGAGGCTGCTGGCGGTGCTGCTGGTGCTGGTGCAGGTGCTGGTGGTGGTGGCGCTGGTGGCACTGGAGGTGGGGGGGGAATGGCAGGAGGGGGCAGTCAGCGCACGAGCTGGCATGTTGTGGTGCCGCCTCATGCACAGGTGGGTGCTGCTGCCACCGCTGCCGCTGCTGCCGCTGCCGCCGCCGCTGCCGCCGCCGCCGCCGCCGCTGCCGCTGCCCCCGCCGCCGCTGTCGCCGCCGCCGCCACTGCCACCGCTGCTGCTGCAGCTGCCACCGCTGCCACCGCCGCCACCGCTGCCACCGCTGCTGCTGCTGCTGCTGCCGCCGTCGCCGCCGCTGCCGCCGCCGCTGCTGCGCTGTGCATGTGTGTGTGTGCAAGTGTGTCAGTTTGTGGATGTGTGTGTTCATGTGTGCAGGTGTGTCCTCTCCAGTTCTTACCCTACCCCTTCCTTCCTCACCCTCCCCTCCCCTGGTTTGATTGCTGCTCTCTTCAATGCCCACTCCCCAGGCGGCGGCCCAAGACACGCTGCAAGGCAAGCATACATGCATGCCTCACTCACACGCCTGCACAACAACTTCCTTCCCCTTCTCCCCCCCTCTCCCTCTGCTATCACTGCTCCCTTGAATGAACCCTATGGCAGGCAGCAGGCCTGGACGCGCTGGCGACCATCGACGCGTACCTCACTCGCCTTCACAACTCTCTGCTGCCTGCCAGCTCCTCTGGTGCCCTCCTGCCCCTCCACCCCCCCACCCAGCCGTCTGCCTGCCAACCCACCCACCCACCCACCCACCCGACCACACACTCACGCACGCACACACACACACACACACACACACACACACACACACACACACACACATACATACACATACACACCTGCACACGCACACGCACACACACACACACACACACACACACACACACACACATGCACATGCACACGCACGCGCACCCATTCACCCACCCACCCACCGACCAACACACACGCACCGACTCATCCACCCCACTGCAAACGTGTGAGCTGGCTCAGAAGCCGAGTCGCCATGGCATGCCACCACCCCCCCGATCCACCAGGTGCCCCGCAGGCAGAGAGAGAGCAGGCTCGCTGCCAGGCCCTTGCCCCGCTGCCGCGACTAGCTGCCAACATTCGCC